AGCTCTTTACGGGCTTAAATAAGCGCCAAGGGCCTGGTTTGACAAACTAAGCTCCTATTTTCTTACCATGGGGTTCTTTGAAGTACTGCTGATCCTTCACTTTTCATATGTAACTCTTCAAGAGGTACACTCTTCTTGCTCCTTTATGTTGATGATATGGTATTAACAGGTGATGACCCAAATTTTTTCAATTGGTTCATTTCTTGCTTGGGTCGCAAATTTGCTATTAAAGACTTCGGATCGCTACATTATTTTTTAGGCATTGAAGTGTCCCATTCTTCGGATGGGTTATTTTTGTGTCACACAAAATATGCTCGTGATCTTCTTGATTGTACTCATATGAAGGGCTGCAAGGCTATTAACACGCCTATGGTAACTAAAGCTGGAGGCATTTTATCCAACAATGACCTATATCCAGACCCATCCCATTATCGCAGTATTGTTGAAGCGTTACAATACCTTACCTTTACCAGACCCGATCTCAATTTTAGTGTCAATTTTGTTTGTCAATATATGCATGCCCCAACTATTGACCATTATCAACTTGTCAAACATATATTACGATATATCAGTGGCACATTGGATTTTGGGATGAAAATTCTCTCAAATAACTCTCTTGAGCTCTATGCTTTCTCTGATGCGAATTGGGCAGGTTGTCCTATTACTTGAAGATTGACCATAGGATTCTGCACATTTTTGGGTAGCAATCTAATTTCTTGGAGTGCTAAGAAACAAAGCACAGTTGCACGGTCAAGTGCTGAAGCCGAGTACAGATCAATGGCATCCATCATAGCTGAGTTAACATGGCTGACATATATATTTCGTGATATTGGAGTTCCTCTTTCAAAGGCACCTACTCTACATTGTGACAATTTAAGTGCCTTATATATGACTATCAATCCAGTTTTTCATGGCCGAACGAAACATATAGAATTGGATTATCACTATGTTAGAGAAAAAGTTACACGTGGCACTTTGGTTACAAAATTTGTTTCCTCTCGCCATCAACTTGCTGATATATTCACAAAACCATTGGCACGTAAGGAATTTTCTAATCTTAGAATCAAATTGGGTCTGTGCAAAGTCTCCCAGTCCAATTTGAGGGGAAGTGAAAGAAGACCTCCTACAAACTCTCAAACAGTTTTGAAAAGGTGACAGTTGGATGGAGATAAGGTCTCCTAGAATTTATCTTGGAGTTTGAAAACAAGAGGATCATTATCTGCATTATTGAAGAGAGAAAAATCCTCCTACAATCTCTCCCAGAAGTTTCATACACGTTTTGTAATTGTTCTATATATGTGTGTGTAACACCAACAGAATAATATATAGAGAAATATATTGTTGATTTTCTTTACCATCTCTATCATTTTCTCTATTTTTCAGTCATTCACTGCATCGAAGAAAAAAATTGCACCTTTTTCTGTGTCCAAACTGTCCAAACTGACAGATTTCAAGACTTGTAAGTGAAACACGCCGCTCACATTAACACTATTTCGATCGAAATTAGGAAAATAAGAGAATTCTCTAGCCTCTGTCCAAGATTTTTTCTTAAAAGAGTAAACAACATAGACATTTTGTCTAACGACAATGTAATCATCATTAGAATAAGATGAAATGAAGAGAACCACCTTGTAATCATCGACGGAAGAATCATAACATAGTCCACCAAATGTATAATCAATAGGAGATGATAACTGTTTGTATGCTCCAGTGGATGGATTCCACAATATACACGTTTTGCTGCCATCATCACACCACGGAAACAATAGTACTAAACCATTACAAGAACCAAGTGTATCAACCTTATAAATCAAACTCCTGGTAAAAAAGGGTTTGGCATTCCAATTTAATGGATTGGTTTAGGTGAGTTTTGATGAATTCGGGTTCAGAGACTAAAAGACGCCATGATTTATGATATGGAAAAATAAACCTAGCTTACCTTAACCTAACGATAGAGGCAACTAAGTGTTAACCAACCGCCAGACCTCTTCGACTTTCGAAACGATAATATTTCATTATCAAGATCACGATTTCCATTGGATAAATATGATGACAAATCTTATAAGGATAAGATTTCCATAGGATAAGTTCCATGGGATAAGGATGATGATATTCCCTTATCAAGAATAAGGGAAGTGACGATAAATAGGAAGACGACTCGGGAATAAGGTACAAATTTCCTACTAGGGATTACGATTGAAATTCTTTCTTTAGAAACCCCTACTAACTTGATCGTCGGAGGGTCAACGACCGACACCACATCGGTGTTTGACTTTGCCGTTTTTGTTTTGCTAGAAACAGTATCGTACCAGGCCACGGTGAATCAACCCCAATAGTTGGTGCCGTATGTGGGAACGACAATTCCCTTAAATCAATTACTCGGTTGTGGTCCGGTATGGTAACTGGAACAGAAACATTATTGCAGGGATTTAGTCAAAGAGAAGGGTCGGGTGAACACCCAGATGTCCTGAATAACCAGGAACGGCTTGCAGCGTTAGAACTACAGGTCTAAACTATGAATCAGGGTATGGACCGGTTGATCCAACAAAATACAAAGATCTTGCAACATCTTATCCCAGCGGTACCACTACCTCAACAAGAATTTTTCGACCCATATCCTTAATTTGAATGATGGGGGACAACACGAGGAGGACCGAGAAAACAATCCTTCTCACAGTTCGAGGCAGAACAAAACCAAGCCTGAAACCAACACAGAGAACCTCCTTCCCCGCCTCCGCGGAATTCCCAATCTCAAATAGGCACAACCTTCTGTGTTAAGGAAAAGACAGAGAAAGTTACCTAATTTGACCTACAAATCGAGAATCTTAAGGCGAAAATGGAAGATGTAATGCAGGCTATGAAAGGGAAAGGTTCTGCCGCCAAAGATGACCTGGTGTAGAGGACCAACTTGCCATTCAACCCTGCCGTTATGACATGCCCTCTGCCTAGCAAGTTCAGGATGCCCTCGTTCGAAATTAAGCTCTTATGCATTTACACGCCGTGCCAGATGAAATCATGTACCGAGCTTTTCCCACTACACTTAAGGGATCAGCAAGAGTTTAGTTTAACAAGCTGAAGCCAGAACCATCAACACTTTCGAAGAACTGAGTAAACAATTTGTGAGCCACTTCATTGCAGGTCAGAGGCATATGAGGCTGGTCACCTACCTGTTTACCGTGGAGCAACAGAAGGGAGAGTTGATTCGGGAAAATATCACCCGATTCAACGCAGAGATGTTACAGGTAGAAGAGGTGGATGACAAGGTGGCTTTGACCGCTTTCATAGGAGGACTCCAAACTCCCAAATTCTTGTTCGCCTTATCTAAAGAACCTCCAACCAGCATGACAGATTTGTTGATCATAGCGCATAAACGCATGAACGCTGAAGACGCCATGAATGCACGGAAGGAAAAGGAAGGAGAGGACAAGAAAAGGTCAGTCCCTCTCCCAGGGATGAAAATGATACCAACTATAAGAGATCATTCTTCAACCAAAGCAATAGGACATATCGTGAGGAGGACTCAGGTAAGTATACCGACTAACAATTGTCTCACAGTTGGAATTAGCCTTATCAAGTCATTCAAAATAAAGACTGGGGGCATCTTAGTTCATCATTTCACGTGTTATTTTATTTTTCAATAAAGTCACCATCACCAATGAGATGGATGACCCTCAATTTTCTCGCAATAAAATATTACATTTTCAGTTACCTACCTATGTGGTAATATTAAGCTCATAAGAATTTATTTTTCTCATTAAAGGGACCAAGGGCCAACAACACATTCTTCTCTTATTAAAGGGACGAGAAGCCTACTACTCCTTCAACAACACTAAAAATATGTTTAGGTTTGAAAATATTATTTTGAGAGCGAGTGATTATCCTTGTGGGCATGGGGAGAGGAAGAAAAGGAGAAGGGGGAGGGGGCACAAATGGAGATGTCTAGCTTGGACTAAGGAAGTACCATTACGAACCAAGGCAGTGAACTCATACAAATGGGTACAAGTGATATAGGAATGGCATGTTTAGTGTTGGGGGAGAAATCCACGCGGTCCGATACGACACCGTTTTCCTGCAAAGAAGATAGTAGAAGATCGATAAATCTTGACGGCACCAGTGTGGTGTCTGTCAGGAGCTCTCCGACGATCAAGTTAGTCACCAGTGGTCTAAAAGAAAGGTAGGGATTTAATAATCATTTTTTGTCGTCGAACAAGAGCCTAGACGGTGATTTTGGAATAGTAGTTGGTGTCGCTGAAGTAGACCTAGAAGACACAGCGAAAGAGTAATGCATGAACGACATGGGAAATATGAGGACCGGTCTTCTTTTTCCTTTTTCTATTTTTCTTTTTTCGTTACTTTGTGTTCGGGTCATATGGGCCTAGGACTGGTCAACTGCTCGGGAATTTTTCCCAATCGGTTGTATTTTCTATTTCATTGGGACACATTAGACATACGTACTACTATCATATTTTGAGACATTAGCGTTATTATTCTTATAAATATTATTTGCATTTGGGGTTCGAGTGTAATTTGTGAGACTTGGGGTGACCCACTTTTGACTTTAAGCTATTGTGTATGTGGTGTATATGTATACACGTGAGCTGACAGAGATAGGGAAGAATTTTCACCATTTGCAAGTACCAATTGGTAGAAGTTTTAGCCGAGAGTATGATTGCTGCAATGTATAAACAGACGTATCAGCAAGTAGGCAAATTTAAAGCCCGCCTCTTAATGACATTCGATGCTTGGTAACGACTGTTATTGGATGTAGTCCATTCTTATTAACCTCAGTTTTACTCGAAATAGGAAAATGAGACAATTATATAAGGATTTTTTTTTTTAATTGAATTTTTAAAAAACAGTTTTAAAAATTGAAAACTAAGCACTATTTTATACAATTTTTTAATTTTCAAATTTCAGAAACTGTTTAAAAAAATTAAACACCCAATATAACTGATTCTCTTCTTTGCTCACTCTCTTGCCCCATTCATTCGTCAAGCAAATTGAACACCCAAAAGCATTATTTTCAATTACGAATAATGCTTGAAATTTGTGATTAATTAAATATTGTGTACACTTCAAGAAAAACTCTCGCATCAGATTTAGAACATCAAACTAAAATCACAAAAAAATAAAAAATAAAAAAATGAATGAATCAAATAATAAATAATCCCTGCTCTTTCTTATTCTTCCATTTGAGAATCTATATCTTTGTTCCCAGAGTCAACATAAGGCGAGACCAGACTCTCCATATATATAACCCATTCAAACCAGTCATCATTCCTAACTTTCAGATTCTTCATTGTCTTGTCATGGACATTATATCTTATGAGTTTCATTCCATCCACAACAACTATAACTTCTCCATTCTTTGTAAAGCATATGGGCACCATGTAGTCACAATACCCAATATCTCTCCCCCTCACAACACTCATCTTCATCCAAGAACTCTTCACACCATATTCCTTCATCACCCAAATCTCCACCTCAAGTCCATACCCATAGCAAAGCAATGAAAGACAACCTTGTGAAGCTCCCAAGCTGTGAAATGAGATGTTCCTGTCTCGAGTCTCCGGCTGTGGAACCTCAAAGAACTCCTCTTTCTCCATATCAAGAGCAAGAATCGTGTCGAGCCCACCGCGACTTGCCCTCCAGTGAAGAGCCCCGTTCAAGTATGTCCCGGAATCGTCCAGGATAGTAATACTCTCATGGAAGCCTTGGATCAGTCTCCAATTGTTGTGTTTTGCGCTGAAGACCTCGACTTTGATTTGGTCATAGGCACCAGCACAAGCACTTGCTCTTACAACTTTGTAGTCATCATTAGAGGAATCATAACCAAGTCCGCAGAGGGACACAATATCTGATGAAAAGTTTGGTTTTGGTAGCTCCCTGGATTGTCTAGTAGATGGGTTCCATAAAATCATGACATCTAAGGCACGATAGGCTAAGCTAATCAAGCCATTGCAAGACCCCACAATCTGAACACCATTTTGTGGGGACTTAGATGGAAACCCTAGATTTACTATAGCATCATCATGATCATGATCATGATCGGCAACAACAGCATGATCATCAACATCATCACATGATGATGGTGACTCGTAGTCCAAGGAATAAAAGGGGAACAACGTGAATAGTCTATGGTGGTTCATGCTAGGATCGGAATTGGCTCGGTTGAGATGCATTTTGACAAAGTAAGGATCGGATATCAAAGAAAGCCATGGCTTGGAAACGCATTTGAATCGATTCAGAGACTTGACGGGTAATCGTGAGAGTATGTCTAGCACGATGTCGTGTGGAAGGTTGGCCATGGCAAGCTAAATATATTTTTCTGGATCTGTTATTACTAGTAATGACTATTGTTTTTAAAGTCTTGATTGAGCAGTACTATATATAGAGGCACAAGACATTTACATTCCATGAAAGAAACATTGCACACGGCTAGAATTTGGGTCATGAATTGAAGGCCCAAGTGGGCGTCGACTGAAGAAGATGTCCTTGACTTGGTGCTGTTGAAGACTTGAAGCTTACGGTGTTCACTGCATGTGGTTTCATTTATGGTGGGTGGGCCGGAGTTGTTTATAGAACTTGTCAATTAATAGACTAAAAGGCTGGAAACCTCGTGCGAACATGATAGCGGTCAAATTTGATTTGGAACTTTAGCAGTCGTTTAGAAGAAAAGAGACGGTGGAAATTACACAGAAATTGAAATTTCTGTGGGTCATGTTGTGTGAGACCCATGAAATCTAAAGATCGAGTTTCATCAAATAAATTCATTTTTTATTTATTTTACTTATATAATATTAAGTTTTATATGTGAACAAAGTATATTCCCTCGGTTTCAAAAATTTATTGTTTGAAAATTTATCTTTTTTAAAAAATAAATTTTATACTTTTTAATGGATAATTTTGAATAAATTATTTTTTACTATGTGGTCCAATTACAAATAACTACATAATTGATAATTACAAAATAAAAAAGTAAAAAATGAGGACAATATTTTCTTTTTTGAAATAAATTCAATTATCTTCTCTAATTCCTTATTTATTACTTTCCTAATTTTTTAATTACCGATCATGTGTGAATTTGTGAGAGCAGTTAGGATTTTGAGAAGGTTATGAAAGAAAAAGAAAAGAAAAAGAGTATTTAAAATTTTCAATTGGAACATTTTCTTTACGATGGTTTACTTTTTATTAGGTAAATTGATAAGGTTATTTTAGTACAACTAAAAAAACGGAGTAAAAATGTGGATATTTATTTTGAGACTGAGGAAACAATAGATTGAATTTATTGATTTTTAGTATTTGACAGCCTGATAAAATAAATGTATATATTTTTGTAATAATTTTTTCTTTAAAAATTATAAAAACTAATACTAAATTAACAGTGTTATCATATGGTCTTGTTTCTGAAATTGATATTGTTCTCGTAAAAGAAAAAATATATATTTGCAGTCAAAAAGAACGAAATTCCCTACCATCAGTAAAATTACGACGAATTCAACAAAACATAGATTCAACGAAAATTAAGGTAGAAATGAAGGCATCAAGATTTTCTTCTTCTTCTTGGAACTTAGAAAAATAAAATAATATGTGGTTTTACACTGGAACCATTCCTAAGAATATGACAGGTCCAAGTCTACTCGTTATCAGTTATAAGATGAGAAAAAAAGAGTTCACATCTGACCAAGTCTTTTGGATTTAAAAAGTAGGAGAGAGAGAGAGAGATGGTCCAATTCTCTTCATCATGACGCGTTAACAAATTTCCAATTTTTTAAGGAAAAGAAAAAAAAGTAGCAGGATGTATTCTCTTGGTCTACAAAGAGTCAACATGCAATTTTTTACTTGATTCAATATAAAATTTAGAATTTCATCAAACCAAATTTGCTCTTGTAATATCAGACTCTATGGGCATAATAAAAAATTATATACGATGTTGAATGGAAATGTTTGAGAAGAAAGACCCACATTGGGTGTCATTTTTCAACAAGAGGGATACTGTTGATGTGTTTATGTCAAATCTTAAGAAATGTCATGTAAGTTGTTTGTGCATAAAAATTAAGACAGCTAAATTAATTAGTTAGGATCAAAAAAATTTCACATCGCACCCACTAATACAATGTCTTTTTCAAATTTGTCGTGCAGAAATATATTATTCAAGTCAATAGTCTAGTGGTTATGAACATGACATGTAGCCATAAGTGATGTTAATTGTCTCAGTTGGAAAAAGAATACATTGAACGGGCTCAAATCCCTTGCTCATTACCCTACAGTCCCCTGCTGTGAGCTGATTAAGGCTGTGTTTGGCTTGGCACAAGAAAAAGAAGTCCACAAACGGCACAGTAACTTAACGTGCCAACTATAAAGCCAAAAAAAAAAAAAAAACAAAAAAGGAAAGTTGAAATAAGTTGCCGCCCCCGCGTTTCTGCAGTATCACTTTCCCCTTCTTCCCTTTTGCTTTTGTTATTTCCCTCCTTCCTTTTTCATTTTAATCCAAACCCTTATTCCTCTCTCTTTGTTCCATAAAAAAAAACATATTGCTTTTGAATTCCTTTTTTATTGAAAACCCTAATTCCTCTCTCCTCTATTCTTACTTTTTTATTATCTTTTTTGAATCAAAACCCAAATTGCAGTGTGTTGATTTCTCAATGCAATGTCAACTATTCATCTACAGGAAGGAAATCTACAATGGACCTGATGTGGATGTGGTATCTATAATTGACCTAATTAATGCTTGATTGTTGGTAAGTCTTAATACAAGTTATTAATATTGTGCATTTAATATATTGTTCATTTACAGTGAAATTTTTGTTTTGAACGGAACAATGTAGATTTAGAAAATTTATGATTCTTTCATTTGTAATCGATCTGTCATTGTAATGAATGTAAAATCTTCTATAATTGATTTTTAGAACTGAATTGGCTTCAGTAGGTATGAATGTGTTATAAAAAAAAATTGGTATTAAATGCATGCGGCAATTAGACATTTCAGAGGTTAATATTTGATATTTATGAGAAAAAAAAATTGCGAAGTTTAACAAATAGGGACTCTGATTACCTTCACCATCAAAATAAACTATTCACACAGTACTGACTAACTTATGTCACACATAAACTTAAGAATTTATGATTATTTTATTTGTCACTGTTAGTGTAAACTATGATATTTTTTAGTCGAAATTGACATTGGTTAAGCATTATAGTGAATCTGAAATCTTGGATAATTGTAGGGTTTTCTTTTATAATCATAAATAACTATTCTAGTGAATGTAAAATTTTTCATAATTTTTTTTTTTAACTGAGTTGGCTTCATTAGGTACTAATGTGTTATCCAAATATTTTGTTTTCTCATATATGTAGCAATTACACATTTCACAGGTTATTATGTGACATTTATGAGAAAAAAAACATTGTGAAGTTTAATAAGTAGGGACACTGATTACCTTCACCATCAAATTAAGTTATTCACATAGTTCTGCAAAACTAATTTTATAACTCTGCCAAACTAATTTCACACCTAAATTTAACATTTTTTAATTCTTTCATTTGTCATTCGTTAGTGTAAATTATGATTTTTTTTACTTGAAATTGACAATGGTTAAGCATTCTAGTGTATTTGAAATCTTAAATAATTGTTGGATTTTCTTCCATAATCTTCAATAACCATTCTAGTGAATGTAAAATCTTCCATAATTGCTTTTTTAAATTGAGTTGGCTTCATTAGGTACCGATGTGTTCTCCAAATATTTTGTTTTCTCATGTATGCGGCAATTACACATTTCACAGGTTATTATGTGATATTTATGAGGAAAAAAAAAAACACTGTGAAGTTTAATAAGTAGGGACACTGATCACCTTCACCATCAAATTAAGTTATTCACATAGTTCTGCAAAACTAATTTCACACCTCTGTAAAACTAATTTCACACCAAATTTTAACATTTTTTAATTCTTTCATTTGTCATCCGTTAGTGTAAATTATGATATTTTTTTAATTGAAATTGACATTGGTTAAGCATTCCAGTATATTTGAAATCTTGGATAATTGTAGGATTTACTTCTATAATCTTCAATAACCATTCTAGTGAATGTAAAATCTTCCATAATTGTTTTTTTTAAACTGAGTTGGTTTCATTTGGTACCAATGTGTTATCCAAATATTTTGTCTTCTCATGTATGCGGCAATTACACATTTTACAGGTTATTATGTGATATTTATGAGGAAAAAAGCATTATGAAGTTTAATAAGTAGGGACACTGATCACCTTCACCATCAAAATAAGCTATTCACACAGTTCTGCCAAACTAATTTCACACCTCTGCTAAACTAATTTCACACCTAAATTTAACATTTTTTAATTCTTTCATTTGTCATCAGTTAGTTTAAATTATGATATTTTTCTACTTGAAATTGAAATTGGTTAAGCATTCTAGCATATTTGAAATCTTGGATAATTGTAGGATTTTCTTCTATAATCTTCAATAACCATTCTAGTGAATGTAAAATCTTACATAATTGTTTTTTTAAACTGAGTTGGCTTCATTAGGTACCAATGTGTTATCCAAATATTTTGTCTTCTCATGTATGCGGCAATTACACATTTCACAGGTCATTATGTGACGTTTCTGAGAAAAAATACATTATGAAGTTTAATAAGTAGGGACACTGATCACCTTCACCATCAAAATAAGCTATTTACACAGTTCTGCAAAATTAATTTCACACTTCTGCAAAACTAATTTCACACCTAAATGTAACATTTTTTAATTCTTTCATTTGCCATCCGTTAGTGTAAATTATGATTTTTTTTTTTTTTTTTTTTTTTACTTGAAATTGACATTGGTTAAGCATTCTAGTTTATTTGAAATTTTAGATAATTGTAAGATTTTCTTCAATAATCTTCAATAACCATTCTAGTGAATGTAAAATCTTTCATAATTATTATTTTTTAACTGAGTTGGCTTCATTAGGTACCAATGTGTTATCCAAATATTTTGTCTTCTCATGTATGCGGTAATTACGCATTTCACAGGTTATTATGTGATATTTATGAGGAAAAAAACATTGTGAAGTTTAATAAGTAGGGACACTGATCACCTTTACCATCAAAATAAACTATTCACACAGTTCTACAAAACTAATTTCACACCTCCGCAAAACTAATTTCACACCTAAATTTAACATTTTTTAAATCTTTCATTTGTCATCTGTTAGTGTAAATTATGATATTTTTCTACTTGAAATTGACATTGGTTAAGCATTCTAGCGTATTTGAAATCTTGGATAATTGTATGAATTTTTTCTATAATCTTCGATAACTATTCTAATGAATGTAAAATCTTACATAATTGTTTTTTTTAACTGAGTCGGTTTCATTAGGTACCAATGTGTTATCCAAATACTTTTTTTTTCTCATGTATGCGGCAATTACACATTTCACAGGTTATTATGTGACATTTATGAGAAAAAATACATTGTGAAGTTTAATAAGTAGGGACACTGATTACCTTCACCATCAAAATAAGCTATTTACACAGTTCTACAAAACTAATATCACACCTTTGCAAAACTAATATCACACCTAAATTTAACATTTTTTAATTCTTTCATTTGTCATCCGTTAGTGTAAATTACGATATTTTTTTACTTGAAATTGACATTGGTTAAGCATTATAGTGTATTTGAAATCTTGGATAATTGTAGGATTTTCTTCTATAATCTTCAATAACCATTCTAGTGAATGTAAAATCTTCTATAATTATTTTTTTTTAACTGAGTTGGCTTCATTATGTACCAATGTGTTATCCAAATAATTTGTCTTCTCATGTATGCGGCGATTACGCATTTCACAGGTTATTATGTGATATTTATGAGGAAAAAAACATTGTGAAATTTAATAAGTAAGGACACTGATCACCTTCACCATTAAAATATGTTATTCACACAGTTCTGCAAAACTAATTTCACACCTCTGTAAAACTAATTTCACACCTAAATTTAACAATTTTTAATTCTTTCATTTGTCATCTGTTAGTGTAAATTATAATATTTTTTTACTTAAAATTGACATTGGTTAAGCATTCTAGCATATTTGAAATCTTGGATAGTTGTAGGATTTTCTTCTATAATCTTCAATAACCATTCTAGTGAATGTAAAATCTTCCATAATTTTTTTTTTTTTTTAACTGAGTTGGCTTCATTAGGTACCAATGTGTTATCCAAATATTTTGTCTTCTAATATATGCGGCAATTATGCATTTCACAGGTTATTATGTGATATTTATGAGGAAAAAAACATTGTGAAGTTTAATAAGTAGGGACACTGATCACCTTCACCATCAAAATAAGCTATTCACACAGTTCTACAAAACTAATTTCACACATAAATTTAACATCTTTTAATTCTTTCATTTGTCATCCGTTAGTGTAAATTATGATATTATTTTACTTGAAATTGACATTGGTTAAGCATTATAGTGTATTTGAAATCTTGGATAATTGTAGGATTTTCTTCTATAATCTTCAATAACCATTCTAGTGAATGTAAAATCTTCCATAATTATTATTTTTTAACTGAGTTGGCTTCATTAGGTACCAATGTGTTATCCAAATATTTTGTCTTCTCATGTATGCGGTAAATACGCATTTCACAGGTTATTATGTGATATTTATGAGGAAAAAAACATTGTGAAGTTTAATAAGTAGGGACACTGATTACCTTCACCATCAAAATAAGCTATTCACACAGTTCTGCAAAACTAATTTCACATCTCTGCAAAACTAATTTCACACCTAAATTTAACATTTTTTAATTCTTTCATTTGTCATCTGTTAGTGTAAATTATGATATTTTTCAACTTGAAATTGACATTGGTTAAGCATCCTAGCGTATTTCAAATCTTGGATAATTGTATGATTTTTTTCTATAATCTTCGATAACCATTCTAGTGAATGTAAAATCTTACATAATTATTTTTTTAACTGAGTTGGCTTCATTAGGTACCAATGTGTTATCCAAATACTTTTTCTTCTCATGTATGCGGCAATTACACATTTCACAGGTTATTATGTGACATTTATGAGAAAAAATACATTGTGAAGTTTAATAAGTAGGGACACTGATTATCTTCACCATCAAAATAAGCTATTTACACAGTTCTACAAAACTAATTTCACACCTTTGCAAAACTAATATCATACCTAAATTTAACATTTTTTAATTCTTTCATTTGTCGTCCGTTAGTGTAAATTATGATTTTTTTTTTTTTTACTAGAAATTGACATTGGTTAAGCATTCTAGCGTATTTGAAATCTTGGATAATTGTAAGATTTTCTTCAATAATCTTCAATTACAATTCTAGTGAATATAAAATCTTCCATAATTGTTTTTTTTTTTTTAACTGAGTCGACTTCGTTAGGTACCAATGTGTTATCCAAATATTTTATCTTCTCATGCATGCGGCCATTACTCATTTCATAGGTTATTATATGATATTTATGAGGAAAAAAATATTGTGAAGTTTAATAAGTAGGGACACTGATCACCTTCACCATCAAAATAAGTTATTCACACAGTTCTACAAAACTAATTTCACATCTCTGCAAAGCTAATTTCATACCTAAATTTAACATTTTTTAATTCTTTCATTTGTCATCCGTTAGTGTAAATTATGATATTTTTTTTACTTGAAATTGACATTGGTTAAGCATTATAGTGTATTTGAAATCTTGGATAATTGTAGGATTTTCTTCTATAATCTTCAATAACCATTCTAGTGAATGTAAAATCTTCCATAATTATTTTTTTTTAACTGAGTTGGCTTCATTAGGTACCAATGTGTTATCCAAATATTTTGTCTTCTCATGTATACGGCAATTACGCATTTCACAGGTTATTATGTGATATTTATGAGGAAAAAAACATTGTGACATTTAATAAGTAAGGACACTGATCACCTTCACCATCAAAATAAACTATCACACAGTTCTGCAAACTAATTTCACACCTCTGCAAAACTATTTTCACACCTAAATTTAACATTTTTTAATTCTTTCATTTGTCATCTGTTAGTGTAAAATATGATATTTTTTTACTTGAAATTGACATTGGTTAAGCATTCTAGTGTATTTAAAATCTTGGATAATTGTAGGATTTTCTTCTATAATCTTCAATAACCATTCTAATGAATGTAAAATCTTCCATAATTGTTTTTTTTAACTGAGGTGGCTTCATTAGGTAGCAATGTGTTATCCAAATATTTTGTCTTCTCTTGTATGCGGTAATTACACATTTCACAGGTTATTATGCGACATTTATGAGAATAAATATATTGTGAAGTTTAATAAGTAGGGACACTGATCACCTTGACCATCAAAATAAACTATTCACACAGTTCTGCAAAACTAATTTCACACCTTTGCCAAACTAATTTAACACCTAAATTTAACATTTTTTAATTCTTTCATTTGTCATCCGTTAGTGTAAATTATGATTTTTTTACTTGAATTGACATTAGTTAAGCATTCTAGCGTATTTGAAATCTTGGTTAATTGTATGATTTTCTTCTATAATCTTCAATAACCATTCTAGTGAATGTAAAATCTTTCATAATTGTTTTTTTTTTAACTGAGTTGGCTTCATTAGGTACCAATGTGTTATCCAAATATTTTGTTTTCTTATGTATGTGGCAATTACACATTTCACAGGATATTATGTAACATTTATGAGAAAATATACATTGTGAAGTTTAATAAGTAGGGACACTGATCACCTTCACCATCAAAATAAGCTATTCACACAGTTCTGCAAAACTAATTTCACACCTCTGCAAAACTATTTTCACACCTAAATTTAACATTTTTTAATTCTTTCATTTGTCATCTGTTAGTGTAAATTATGATTCTTTTTACTTGAAATTGGCATTGGTTAAGCATTCTAGCATATTTGAAATCTTGGATAATTGCAGGATTTTCTTCTATAATCTTCAATAACCATTCTAGTGAATGTAAAATCTTCCGTAACTATTTTTTTTTAATTGAGTTGGCTTCATTAAGTACCAATGTGTTATCCAAATATTTTGTCTTCTCATGTATGCGGCAATTACACATTTCACAGGTTATTATGTAACATTTATGAGAAAAAATACATTGTGAAGTTTAATAAGTAGGGACACTGATCACCTTCACAATCAAAATAAGTTATTCACACAGTTCTGCAAAATTAATTTCACACCTCTGCAAAACTAATTTCACACCTAAATTTAACATTTTTTAATTCTTTCATTTGTCATCCGTTAGTGTAAATTATGATTTTTTTTACTTGAAATTGGCATTGGTTAAGCATTCTAGCGCATTTGAAAATTTGGATAATTGTAGAATTTTCTTTTATAATATTCAATAACCATTCTAGTGAATGTAAAATCTTCCATAATTGTTTTTTTTTTAACTGAGTCGGCTTCATTAGGTACCAATGTGTTATCCAAATATTTTGTCTTCTCATGTATGAGGCAATTACGCATTTCACAGGTTATTATGTGATATTTATGAGGAAAAGAACATTGTAAAGTTTAATAAGTAGGGACACTGATCACCTTCAGTATCAAAATAAGCTATTAACATAGTTCTGCAAACTAATTTCACACCTCTGCAAAACTAATTTCACACCTAAAGTTAATTTTTTTTAATTCTTTCATTTGTCATCAGTTCGTGTAAATTATGATATATTTTTTACTTGAAATTGATAGTTGTATGATTTTTTAGCCCTTTTCATTAGTTCGGTAAATATTTTGTATATATATATTTTTTTGTCACAAGTTATAGAAACTGACTTTAACGTTTTGATGGACCTTTTGCTTCTTGTAACATTTATACTGAAGTTATCCCAATGGATAATGACTTAAGTATTAATGATGTGAGAACAAGCATTCCAATCGTTGCCGAAATCAATATTTCTGAAAACTTAGTAGCAGAAGTTGTCAATCCCATTGACATAGAATTCACACCAAAATTGAACATGCAGTTTGACACTGAGGATGAAGCATACGACTTTTACAATGCTTATGGGGGTAAAGTTGGATTCAGTATTCGTAAGGATTATGCAAATAAAAGCCGTAAGATAGGAAATATTACAACAAGCAAGTTTGTGTGTTCCAAACAAGGTTTTAAGGTGAAGGACAAGAGGGATATCCATACAAGAAAGCCAAGGACTGAAACTTGAACCGGTTATGGTGCACTGATGCAAATTAGATATGACCGCAAGAAGGGAAAGTACGTTGTATATAATTTTGTCGAATCTCACAATCATCCTATGATAATTGAAGAATGCACACATATGATGCCATCACAACGAAGAATAAGTGTTGCCCAAGCAATTGATGTGGAATTGGCCTGCCAATCTGGAGTTCCACTTGGTAATGCATTTGAGTTACTGAGCAGGCAGGCTGGTGGGAGGCAATCAATTGGCTACGCCAAAGTTGATCAACAAAATTTTCTAAGAACAAGAAGACAGAGTGAGTTAGAATACAGAGAGAAGACATGGCTGATGAATTATTTCAAAATTCAATTTTGTGAGAATCCTTCATTTTTTCACACCATGCAGTTGGATAGCGATGAAATGATAACTAATATCTTCTGGGCAGATTCGAGAATGATAATTGACTATGGGCATTCATCCAAAGCAATCGTCCTTTTGCGGCTTTTCTTGGTTTGAATCATCATCGGGAGACTGTTGTCTTTGGACTAGCATGGATGTATGACGAGACTGCCAATTCCTTTGCGTGGCTGTTTGATTCATTCTTGAATGCAATGTCAGGTAAATAGTATAAATGTAATTTTTTTTTTCCTTTTCGCAATTATTAAAGGCTGAAGTTGATCATGCCATTTTTTAACCCTTTCCTTTTTTTTTTTTTTTTTTTTTTTTATATATACTTTTTCAATATGATTCTGATTTTTATGTAAATTACTTGTGGTTACTTGAGTGAGTTTATTGTTTGTACCTTGTAGCTCACCAGTAACTTAATCATATTTGAAGTCTACTACACTACCTGGAGATGTTAGAATCTTTGCTTCCCAAGGGTAGTAGCAACAGTCATTTATTCCTTCCAAATACCTGTATATGTTTTCCTGAATACAAATACTGAATAATGCATTGACAATACTCGTGTATAAAGTACTAACTTTTTCTTGTATACGTACATGTCCATTATGTGCACTCTCGGGTTGAGTTTGAGTCATATTTTAAAAAACAAGCAGAGAAGAATAATGAGATGAAAAGAGAAATGTAAAGAATGTGGATTGTGTGAGGTGAAAGATTGGAAGAGTGCATGTGGTTAAAAAAAAAAAAATGAATTGGTTTAAGATTCCATGTAGGTTAAAATTATAATTTAATTATCTGTGCTGCACCTACTTAATTAGAAGTTAATTATCAAGGAGAGAACGATGAATAATCTCTGTTTTTCTGTTTCTATATCATGGAAAAGAAAAACAAAAATAGTTGCAACATTTTATTGTACTCATTTTGTCAAATGTCAAGGGTAAAATAAGAATTCTAACTCCTCTATTCTTTTTGTTCACATCTTTTACACTAAAAGGATTTAGCTCAAATTATAACTCTTTATGTCTTAAAAAAAATTTATATCTCTTTAATAATAATAATAACAACACAAGGTGTTGTGGGAGATGTAAAGAATGTGGATTGTGGGACTTACCTAAATAAAGTCCTTTTATTTTTATTTCTCTTTTCATCTCATTATTCTTCTCTGCTTGTTTTTTAAAATATGACTTAAACTCAACCCGAGAGTGCACATAATGGACATGTACGTATACAAGAAAAAGTTAGTACTTTATACACGAGTATTGTCAATGCATTATTCAGTATTTGTATTCAGGAAAACATATACAGGTATTTGGAAGGAACAAATGACTGTTGCTACTACCTTTGGGAAGCAAAGATTCTAACATCTCCAGGTAGTGTAGTAGACGTCAATTATGATTAAGTTACTGGTGAGCTATAAGGTACAAACAATAAACTCACTCAAGTAACCACAAGTAATTTACATAAAAATCAGAATCATATTGAAAAAGTATATATAAAAAAAAAAAAGAAAAAGAAAAAAAGGAAAGGGTTAAAAAAGGGCATGATCAACTTCAGCCTTTAATAATTGAACATGGCCATTCTTTTTTACCTTTTTAATGTGAATTACTTTTTCAAATGAAGATATTTTATTGAGCCATAATGTTCTTGCCTTCAAATTTTCAATACTATTAAAAATTTTAGTGATGATGTATGATAAGATTGCCTATTTATTTACATGCCTTTTTGATATATTCTTGAATGTGATGTTAGGTAAAGTACCACAAACGATTCTTACTGACCAAGATGGTGCAATGGCAAAGGCGTTGGCACAAGTTATGCTGAGGACAAGACATTTACTTTGCACGTGGCACATCATGGCAAATGCACAGAAGCATGTAGGCACCATTTTTAGGAATGATGAAGGGATTAAAAGTGTGCTGAGTCAATTCATGTACTGTTATGATGATGAGGATGATTTTTGTATACAATGGGATGTAATGTTAAGGGACTACAATGTTGTTGGTAACACATGGTTGAACAATTTGTTTGGTTTAAGAGAAAAATGGGGTTATCCATTTGTTAAACATTGGTTTACCGCTGGAATGCGGACAACGCAGCTGAGTGAGAGTCTAAATAGCTGCTTGAAAGAGTACTTAACTAGGAAAATGAGTATTCCAGATTTCTTCATGCACCTTGACAGGCTATTGTCAGAGAAACGGTACAAGGAATATCAAGCTGAGTATGGTTTACTCAGTAAACTACCTAGACTTAAACAAAATTGTCCCATTCTAAAACAAGTGGGCAATATGTACACGTTGAAGATTTTTGAACTTTTCCAGGACCAATTCATAGAAGCTTGTGTGGTTGCTACCGTGGAAGGAACAAGTTTAAATGAAAATGGATTACGTGTTTCTAGAGTATCTGTTCATGATGGCAGTATGGATCGGACTGTGACAAGGTGGGATGATGGCTTTCTAAGTTGTTCGTGTGGGAAATATGCAATGGAAGGTATTTTGTGCAGCCATGTACTTAAAGTACTGAAAGATAACACTCATTATTTCAAAGAATTACCTTCTATGTATATACTAAAAAGGTGGACGAGAAAAGCTAGGGATAACAGCGTACAAGACATCCGTGGATGTGAAATTATTGCTGATCCTAAACTTGAAGTACGCAGAAGGTATAGGATGTTATGTCATTTTTTTTTACAGAAATCAGCTCATTTGTATCCGAGAAAGAAGAGGTATTCAATAATTTGATGCTAAAGGGGATGAAATGGAAAAGGAAACACATTAATGTTGAAAGGCAATGTTTCGATGTTGAACAAGAGGCAACCAATTCAGCTTTTTCAACTGAAAGAAGTAATAATCATGAACATAATGAAAGTATCATTGGGCAAGCCATGACCGGAAGTAATGCCAAGGGTATAAAGAATAAAGAAACAGGTGGTAAGGGACCAAGGCGCAGGAAGAAGAATAAGTTTGAACAATACATGCAGAGAAAAAAAAACTATGCGAAACGAAAGGTTAATTTAATTTATTTTTTATTATTTGATAATTTAATTTTCCAGTATATGTCATTAACATTTTGATATTAGCAATGTCATAATTTTTTTTTACAATGAATAAATCTATTGTTTTGTAGAAATCAAATGGCAACAACAGTGTTGGTGCAGGGGTAGGTGGCAGTGGTACCGTGCCACCTATTACATATGTACGTCTGAATGTGAGTTTTCTCCTTTTCTTAAATGAAAACATTGATTTTTTATTTTTTATATATTATTATAATTTTTAGTATGATAATCTCTTAATTAAGAATGTTTATATTGAAATAAGGGTTGTGATATTCCTAGCAACGCCACTTGGATTTACGAAGATCATCACCCATGTGCACGTTTACATTCGGAAACAAATATCGACCAAATGACATATTGTCCTACCACTAACTTCAGTCATCCCAGGACTCCACCAACTGAACAGGTATAAACAAACTTTTATTCTGAACTAGGTATATAAAAATTAATGAACATTATTTCATACTTTTGAAATCCATTAGTTAATGAACATTGAGAATATATTGGCAGGGGACTCTATTTGTTTCGTATCATGAATGCCGATTCTCAGATTATCTTGTAAGTTTATCTCTTATAAAATTTATGCTTCTGCAATATATTCTAAACATGTATGTTTTAACTTTGCATTAATTAACGTATGTACAAACATTGTTTTTGTATGATCCATTTTAAGGATGTTGATCACACCAGTGGTGACCGTAATTTGATGCCAATGTCGGAAGAGACAACATCTGAGATCAACCCTCCAGCTCGGCAAAATTTGTTTTGAGTTAAGAAATTCTTGACAAATTGATGGTGTATAGGTATGCTATGGTTGATTGATGATAACAGAATATGGTGGTAGAAAAAATATATCCCTTTTTGTGTAAAGATTTGTAAATGTATAAATAACTTGTTCACTTTTGTTTTTTGGGTTTTTTATATATGGAAAATAAAATGGATTTTTATTCAGGCCTATTTATGTCAATTAAAATATGTATGTGTACATATATTGTTTGGTCCATTTTGTTTGTGATTTGGGACGAGTTGAAACCATTAATTTCAAGGTGACATGGTTCCGTGAATGGCATCTGACTATTTTCTCCAATGATGGCGATACTTAATTGCCTCTTGCATATGGCGATTTTATGTTAGACAGTGCTAATTAAATTATCCATCCTAAAAGTTCCATTTTGTTACTTCAAAAGTTAAATACAACATCACACTACATACATCACATTACATACATACACATATATCACATTACATACAGAAAACGACGTCAACGGTTATCATCAGTTGACTATGACTTTTTCTCCAATGATGCCAGACACCATCAATATGTGGAGATCGCAATGGCAAAGATTACAATTTATTTTCTCCTCATTTATTTGCTCGACCATCCACCATTTGATGTGAACCATGTCACCTTCATAGTTCGGTGGTCTATAATCTTCCTCACAACAAGCAGGAATGTTATGAAATAACCCATTTGACCACCCTCTTTTCACTATTGAAATCATTTGTTCCCTCCGATGTTTTATGATCAGTTTATTTGTTATGTCTGTGTTCATGTTCGAAAGTTGTTGAATACCATTTACTTTATCAGCATCATTGCCATATATTAATGCAATGGCTAAAGCAAACTTACAACCAGTATGCTGAAGATATGCACCTTTGGTTAGAATACTTAGCCCATCTACCCGATTTTGATGCAAGAAAAATAGCTCCTACATCCAACATAAAGTTATTAAAAATAAACCCAATTAAATTACTTTCACAATTTAGTAAAGTGAGTGAAAGCAACGTACCACTCCGAAGACAAACATAGCCTCCAAATTGCCATCATCAACACACTTTTGCATGAACACGCATCGCAAATAGGAAGTATCACTGGTACCCTCCGTTTGTATTTCGTACAAGGATTTAAAACTGAGATGTCGTAACATATGTGGCTCCAAACACACCATAGCTAGCTTATGAGAACTGCACATATTTAAACACTTTTAACTTTTATTTCGTGAATGAAGAAAATATTATAAACATAAAACAATAATGTACACTTAAATCCTTACCATTGTTGAAGTTGTAGTAGGTCTTGAAAATTATTTGCTGCCACTTTACTAACCACCTCACTGAGCAACGGTGGTGGGAGTTCTTCTATTTTCATTTTTAGACTACTTGTTTTGTGTATGCTGGTTACCTTTTGGGGGAAGGTTAACCATTGGTTTACCAGAAAAGGAAGAACTTATGTTGGATATATAGTCAATATGCATAGCCAATTAATGTGGTAGGTTAGGATTAGTTGAACACGAAATTGTGTAATAAGTTACAAGTGTTAGCTGTAAATGTATAATTAAATGCACTGCTTGTTTGATATGACTAAGTTTATCTACAACTCCTCTATTATATATAGATATTTGGTTGAACCGGCAAATCTCCTCTAAGTACATTCACTATCTCAACTAAGTATTCACATCCTGCTATTTAAGTAATAGCACATATGAAATTATCTGAATTCACCATACTGTTTTTCTGATTTGAAGTGAATATAGAGAAAATAATATGTGTGTGTGTGGGTGCGCGTGTGTATATTAATAAGAAAACATAAATTTTTTTTAAAAAAATTAAAAAAAATACAATCTTCACCTTCATAATTAAGTATTCACACCCGGCTGTATAAGTAATATCACATACAAAACTATATGAATTAGCCAAACCACAATTTTTAGTATGTTAATTCAGACATTTATTATATTTTGTCTTTTCATGCATAAAGAGTATCTTATAATTTTTACTAAAATTAAAGAGTTATATAAGAAACACTTATAAATATTGAGAACTGCTAGTCAAAATGCCACAACATCCTAACTTTAAACAAGCTATAACAAATGGAGCTGCAGAATAATTTCAAACAAAAAAGATTAATTTCCTATGTCCTTGTATTCAATTACATCAAAGGATCACACAAGTCTCCAATGAAAGCTTTCAGTTCTGAAAATGGAGAAGAATTTAAGACAGCCTTACGTGAAAGCTTTCAATTCTGAAAATGGAGAACAATTTAAGACAGTAGAGACTTGCTAAAGGATATATGTTAATGAGGTGAACATGACCCATGTTGCGTAGAATCCTTCAAAATAAACCTGACGCCTTAAAAGGCCCTCAAAAATATGCAGAGGATAGAGTGTGTTTCAGACCTCACTAGTAGGTATTTATTTATTTAATTTGATACGTCAATATTAACTGTGAACTACTCAAAAACACCATAGTGGGTGCAACCATTTACTTGCAAAGCATATAAAAGCAATAAAATATACGCTCTGATAAACTTAGATTTCCTAAATGAATCAACCAAATAAACATGTTGAGATATGAAAAGTAGTTAAAAGATTGACCAGATTCAGTATATGAATACAGAGCCCAACTTTTTACAAAACTACCCTGTTCCCAAATTTATACAAAACTAACATGTACAAAACATTCACATAACAGCCCCATACAAGCCTGAATCGTTACAAGGTAGGACAAAAATAAAACAGAGTAACTTTCATGACAAAAGGCATTCCATTGACAAAAATTAAACCTTAACATAGCACCAGTTTCATCACCACCTAAAATTAAAGCTTGCAACCTGGTGTAAATTTAACTTTTCTCCCATGCTTGGTACTGTTGTTCAAAATCTCTTGCCTACATTCGTTCAAAGGATCGGTCAAAAGTTGTAGTGCCATTTCTATACGGATCACAGTAGAGTCCGTCTGTACCATTACATAGAAGTAACATACTGTTAGGAAAAAATATATATTATGTTTAAACCACTGTAAAATAGATAAATATTTCACAATGACATTATACTAACATTGAAGCTTCCCAACAATCTTCTGCTATCCCATAACTCCATGAACCTCATAAGAAAAAGTCCACATGAATGTCTGAACAATAATTAAAAATTGTATAAGAGAGCTACTGAGGAAGTTCATATCAAACATATAGGTAATAAGTTAAACAACAAAAAGATTTCAAAAGTATAAAGTCAAACATACGGGTTAGGCTGCACGGGTAAATCTTGATGCTTTATGATATCATAAAAATCCAATTTCTCTCCTAGTGCAATGTCAAGAAAATCTTTCTGCAATACAAAAACAAAATTACTAACAATATGATCATATCAAATTAAAAAATGAAATGAATTAGAATAAAAGAGTTGTATACCACCAATGAACAATAATTTGTGTGCCTAAAACCAAGTCCGCTACTACATATGTAATGAATAAGCTTATCCGGACGGTGGATGACAAACAAGAACCAATGATTACTAACGTATGCAGGGAAATAGAACTGTTAAGCACACGACATATATTAGTAGTGGAATATTGTCACAACCAGAAACCATAGGCAGAAGACATGGATTGTTAAAGAAAATAACATACCAACTCAGATTTATGAAAGTCGCTGGTCTTTGTTTTTAATTTTCTGCAGTATTTTTCCCAAGCGCTCACCAAGCGTTTCCTGCGTTCCTCCTTATTACTTACAAACTCCACATTCTCATCCCTGATGTAACTTACTGCAAAACTGGAAAAATAGTACTTCATTTTCTTCTCATCCTGTTTTTTGTTTAGAAGCGTCGAATAACAATCAATTACCTATAAAAAAGGAAAATCATAGGTTAAGGACAAAAAAAAAAAAAAAAAAACCAAATTTAACATGGACTAAAAATATGAATGGGGTTAATATTCATGTAATCCACTCACAACATTTGCCACCCACTCATCACCGAACATCGTAAGAACATCAGTCCGATTTAGTTGTGCAGTATCAATACTTACCAATGTTTCACTAACATAACAAAATAAAATAAGTATTTAAAAAACATTAAACATAAGATTAAGCATAAAAAAGGGCATGCCTAGAATCTGTCATATCCATTACTTACATTTTGTCACGGTCAGGGGCTTTGACATATTTAAACAACATTTTGTCATCAGTACTAAGTCTAATTTTTTTCTTAGACTCTGTTTGGTCCCAGGGAGAGTGTGCATATTGTGACCTACCTCGTCGACGACCACTAACAATTTCTTTGGGGACATAATCATCAACTCCTGTCATGTATAATCAATATCAATTATTAATTTAAGGTAATCATAATAGGATAAATGAAAAGATGGTTGAGCATTTAAAGAATTATACCTATAGGGATGTTTGAGAAATTGATATCCTTCTGTGCCTCTTGCACAACATTTAAGCCATCTTCAACACCCTCCCCTGCAGCCTCCAGATTACCTGTCCCAACATGAGCCATGGATTGGTCAGTATTTGAGATACTGGCTTCGACATTTGATTCTTTTACATGATTAAAGCACTTTTCAACTTGGTCAGAATTGTCATCAACTCCACATTCATCGTCAAATTCAACAATGTCATTTTCATCAATATTTACTCCTTCACCGCTTATTCCATGAACCACCGAATGGGGATCGGACGAGTTACTTTGCGGCTGCATATTCAAATGTTCACCACTTTCTTCTCCAATACTCGTGCGACCTGAACTAGTGTTACCTTCCACAGTACCTTTCTTTCGTTTCTCCCGTCGCCTTTCCCTAATGGATTGAAGTCTCCTGAAAATTTGGTTAGTATTTTGAAGTTGCATCTTCAATTCTTGAAAGCAGCACTGCACACATCAGATAATAGGTTAAGAAGTTGCGATCTTATGACAATAAGAACAAATACACAAAAAAAACATAATGTAATGTAAACTTCATAAAAATATCCATTTATTAATGGAATGTATATTTA